GTCTACAGGTCCGGGCCGCCGCCTACGGATAATCACATTACGGAAGGGGAGCAAAAAGGAGTTTGCCAATGTTTCGTCAATGCGGAACGTGACGTCAAATGTCGGTAGCGATTCAGAAAACATAAGGGGTCGCCATGTCGTTTGGAGAGCCGAGGACGCTGAAAGCGACCCGAACCTCGAATGGTGCTTAAAGCCTTGTTCGGCTCTAAAGCAATTTGTAAATTCTGTCAACTTGTAAAATGTCGCAATCCCTAGCCAATGAGGCAAGTGGTCAAATAGGAACCGCAAGGGTTCTTTGGCTTCACAAAAAAACTTTCCTATCCATAAGAAGAAAAATTTTTGAAAAAGTTGAAAAAAGAGGAAAAATAACACAATAAACCACAATAAACAAGAAAATATACACATTTAAAACCAAAGTTATCTCAGTCGCTAAAACCTCACTTTTCGAACCGTCTGGTCTGGTCTGCTTTCGTTGCGCTAATCCCGTGTATGAGAAATTTTTGATGCTGCACAACAAGTTTCTCATACCTTGGATTGGCGCAGCGCAAGACAATTAAAAACGCTGGCAACTCGGGGAACTTTTGTTTTAAAAGTTTAAAAAATGTAAAAAAATGTTGGGAGTTGAACCTTAGACAGTGTCTAGTGCAGGTAACACTGCGCTGTTGGCCCCGTTGACCAGTCGCAACAGAAAGATACGAGGTTCCGGGATTCGATCCGCAGGCCCTGCAGATGCACCCGCCGCCCAGACAGCGGACTGAGAGTCGCTTTCGTCGCTCTGTCTCTCTTGCACTCATGGAGCGTCCCGTATAGGTGCGAGAGAGACAGCGACGAAAAGGAGTCTCGGAACGAACCTGCTCGACAGCCTCGCCGCGCGGCGGATGCCCAAATGGCCACGCTAATGCGCGCAAAAAGACGCTCGCTTCTTTCCATCGAGCGAACACGCGCTGCCGCCACGACGACGTCAAAAATTCAGCCAAGGCTAATTATTCTTCCACCACAGATAACAGTGTCGCGCATCGCCGAGGGAAGGAATCTACGGCGACACCCCACAGTGGGCCAGACGACCGGTGGAGGCGGCCAAACTCCCGGGCGCGTTTTGAGCTCCAGAGTCGCTGCACAGGACTCGAACCGAACGTGTGACCCCACCAATGAACTTCTCGTTCAGAGAGCAATCCATTGGTGGGATCACACCGAGGGGGGACCCACTAGGCACATTCGTTGTACATCCTGAGACCCAACTCCCGAAAAACTCACTCACATTCAGGACACATTCCACACATTCTCATAGAATCAAAACAATCAGCCACAATCCACCACACTCTTACACATTCGCTAACATTCCCTAACATTCTCACACAATCGCTGTACATTCTCTAACATTCTCATACATTCTGTCACATTCTGGGCACATTCCTTACACATTCTCTGCACATTCCTTACACATTCTCAATGATAGTCCCCTAAAAATATTTATTTTAGTCTAATAACTTCGATTTAGGTTAACGTTCCTTTCAGCTTTAGCAGTACTTTCCTCCCTCCAGTGCGGTAGTGCGGTAGTTCGTGTTCGTCCCGAATCCGAACGGAGCCGCTGGCCCGTGCTCGCTTCGGGATCGTCCCTGGAAGCACGCGAAACTCTGTCGAAGTCGAGTCAGCCAAGCCCCAGTCTAGTCCCAGCCCCGGGTCGAGGACAGGATATAGTTTACTGGTTATAGATAAGGTTTGTCACTTGAAAGTGTTAATTTACATTACATGCTTACAGCTTTATCCTCGATTGCCCTTTGCTTAAGTTCAGTTTTCTATTCATTCAAATTTGAATCCTTTCATAACGTAAGCCAGAGCACGACTAGTGTCGTTTAACACTACCCCCCCCCCCCCCAAAAAAAAATGATATATAATAAAAAAAAAACCCTTTGGAACTGGCAGTTTGAGATAATGCATATAAACTGTGCGTCACTTGAACACTAGCCGCTCTGCGTGTTTGTGACTGAATCTGACCGTCCTCCAGTTTCTCAGGAGGGGCCCACCCCCGCCAACCTGGATGAGCACGAGTAAGGAATGAAAATAGTTGTCCAAAATCTGGCAACCTCATGCGACAAAGCAAGATTTATGAAGCAAAGAAACACCACTATGATGAACAGTTAAATATCCCAGGCGTGAAATGGGTTGCCTACCTTCACACACTAAATTACTATGTAGGTTTTTCTGCGCGCCAATGCACGAAATTAAACATGCACTTCGTAACGCACGAATTTGTGCGCGAAAATGCACGATTTACTGCATACTTGCGCACGAAATCGTGCATTGTCGCGCACAAATTCGTGCGGTACAAAGTGCATGTTAAATTTCGTGCATTGGCGCGCAGAAAATCCTACATAGTAATTTAGTGTGCACGGCGCGGCGCTTTGTAGAGACTTCGGCCGCACGCTCATTCAGCGCACAATCTTCCTACATTCTCACACATTCTCGCACTTTTTCTTACATTCTCACACATTCTCATACAATCTCTAACATTCCTGACACATTCTCTCACATTCTCACTACAATCTGTAACATTCACACACATTCTGACAATCTTTTACGATCAGTACATTCCATTACAATCTTTACATTCTCACACATTCAACACATTCTACACATTCTACACTCAGTTGTACACTTTTTGGGGCAGTGGGTCCCCCCTCGGATCACACGTTCGGTTCGAGTCCTATTTAGAGACCGTGGAGCTCAAGACGCGTTCGGGATTTTGACCGCCTCCACCGGTCGTCTGGCCCACTGTGCGCGGCCAAGTTTAACGGGCTCGTCGTTTTGTGGCGGACTACTCCGAGGACTACTCGTCGCGTCTCATCGGTCGCCCCATTTAAAACGTCGGCACGTCCAAAACTTCGGCGGCAGTGGTCGAACTTGTCATCAACCGGTAGGGTTACACTATAAAACAAGTTGAGTCCGATCGACTAAAATTTGTTGATGATTGATAATTAGTGTTAGCGTTTTAACTAAGATTCGAGCAAAAGAACTTTAAAAAGTTATCGTTTTAGCCGATTTGACTAATCGCTCTTTTTTCAGTGTGGCGAACGGCCGAGGAGAATCGAAACTAAGCGGCGGGGCGTTCGACCGCCTCAGTATGTATTCAGGATCCAACGGCAAAACCGCAAGTGCCCTTTCCCTTGACCCGGCCGCACCTGAAAGACAGGAAAAAAGCCACATGCTGCCCACACTGGTAGAGCGTACACTGGTTCGCCCTTCGCGTGGTTCTGCGTTCTCTCCCGTCCATCTAAATGCATGAATTTCTTCCCCACGCTTGACTTCCAGTGTAGAGACTTTAAAGCGTAGTTGCATGCTTGAACAACAATTTGTTTCACCGAAGTAGGAATAAGGAAAACACTACGCCCCCTTCTCAGGCCGCCCGCGGGTCCGCCACCTTACAGTTATTTCTCCAGAGCACATTAGAAAGAAAACGCGCATCATCCGTCACAGTCTCGGGCACGCGTGACGCACTCCTCGCTCGCGAAAGCGCTGTTTCCATCGCCGAGCACGGCGCAGCACCCGCGAAGCATTCGCCTCAGTGGGCCAGAAGACCCGCGTAAATGTGGCCAAAACTCCGGACGCGTTTCGAGCTCCAGAGTCGCTAAACGGGACTCGATCCGAAGGAGTGACCCCACCAATGGATTGCTCTCCGAACGAGGACTCTGCAGAGTCGCTACACAGAAACTCGAAACGAACTTGTGACCCATGGAGCTCAAAACGCGTCTGGAGTTTTGGCCGCCTCCACCGGTCTTCTGGCAAATCCACCGTGCAGCTGCGCGCGGAAGTCGGAAACAATGCGAAGAGCGCGGACAACGCGGCCATCGTGGCGCAAGGATTCATTCGGACACAATGGCCGCCTCGCCGCTCGAAAACCGCAGACACGTATGGCGAGAGGGGAAAAACGGCCGGACATTGGGAGAAATCTGCGTGCCACGGCAAAAGCAGCACCTGGGATTCCCGGGCGGATCCTGGATGGACAATGGACCCTTTTTCGGGGTGGTCCAGGGCTAGGGACTGCCTTTATTGCCGCGATGTGAGTGTCGCTGTGGTTCCAGCCAGAGGCTAGAGCACGTGCACGACGAAAAAAGTTTCCTGGTCCAGAGAGTTCCTGGGAGTTCCAGGGAAAGCCGGAAACTGTTTTTGCCGTAAGTTACGTGCGATGCGTCCCGAAAATGCCACATGCTTGGGAAAGAATCGCACCGATTGGTGCTCTGAGAACGGGCTCAAACGCTTTGCCGCCAATTTTCTTGGATTCACAGTTGTGTTTACCGAGGAGCGCAGCCTAGTTGCTTCTGACCTTTGTATCACACAAATTTCGTTTTCGCGGAGTCCTCATATGACCCCATTTTAACTACACGTTCTCTGATTCAAAGGAACTGAACTAGGAGTTGAATTGACTTTGTTTCTTTAGGAGTGCTCCGCCCGCCCTGCAGCGCCCACGGTGCGGCTTCGGCCTTGCTTCGTTCGACGGCCAGCTCGCGAGTCGAGGCCCCTCGGCAGGCCGATGGCAGGCCGTGGGCGCAGAGCAACATTTTACACTTTTAGTAAAGCGTGCGGCTACACTGGTAAAGCTGGTACGTTGTTGAATACGTCCGCGCTTGACGTCTCGCGTAAATTCTCCGATGCATTTGGATGCGAGAGAGGGGCGAAACGGAGCACTGCGCTTGAAGCTGAGCGCAGCAACCACTGCGCTTGGAGAAAGGCGTAAGAGAACGCCTCCATTCTACAGGAGCAAATCAGCGGCCGTTTGGCATAAGGACGTAAGTCACATGGGAAACCCTTGAAAATAGGTTTTTCTGTTCGATGACCACTCAAATACGTACTTCCTCTTCGCAATCTCAGTCGTGATTGTGCCCGTGCCGTTACAGTCAAGCACACCGGATTCGATATGCGCATTCCCCACTCGGTGTCCGCCCGACTGTTCTGTCTCTGTCGGGCCCTGGCGCTCCACCGCGCGTTGCTTGCAGTGCACTCACCTGTCGGTCCTTGGGCCTGGCGGAGGAGTAGGGTGTCCAGGCGGCCGGCACGGCGTGCACGGCGTTCAGTCGGTCGTTCTGGTGGTGCTGCCGGTTCGGGCGCGTGCTCGCGGATGGTCGCTGCGCGCCGAGAGTGTGGTTGCGGTGCGTCCCGGAGGGTGTTCCCCGGAAGGTGTTCCCCGGAGGGTGTTCCCCGGAGGGTGTTTCCTGGAGGGCGTTCCCTGGAGGGTGTTCCCTGGAGCACCCCGTCGACGTCCGGGGGCGGCTGCCTCTCGCTACGGCACGCGACGCACAGTGAATGGGAGGAGGGAGGCGTCGGCGCAGTATTTAAGGGAGGCTACCCCCGCCAGGCCGCCCCCACCACGAGCAGCGCGCCCCGCCGGGCCGCCCCCACGGCCCCCACTACGCGGCGCTGCAGCGGGCGGACGGGGCGCACGAACAGGTGGGTGGGACGATGACCATGACGTGCCCGATGACGCAACACCATGGCCGCTTCGCGCCGCTTCGGCGAAACTTTGGCCAATGGCGGACGAGCTGCACTGCAGCGCACGCCAAGGACCACGCTGCAAGCGGCGGCGGCCACGCATACGATGATGAAACAGTGGATTTGCCGCCGGCGGCCAAAACTTTAGAGCTACAGAGTCGCTAAACAGGAATCGAACCAAGCGTGTGTCCCCACCAACGGATTGCTCTCCAAACGAGGAATCCATTGAGGTGGGGTCACACGTTCGGTTCGAGTCCCATTTAGCGACTCTGGAGCTCAAAAAGCGTCTGTAGAAGTTTTGGCCACCTCCGCCGGTCGTCTGGCAAATCCACTGTGACGCGTCGCAGCAGACCTCACGATCACCACAGGAGCCAGGAGGAGCAGGCCCGGAGTGCACCATAAAAATACCAGGCCGATGATCTGATGACGCCGCGGGAATTTAACGTCGACTCGTATCCTTGCTCGGAGCTGCGCGAAGCTGCGGTATTTTTACGCCTTTTTTGGTGTCGATTTCATGAGCAGCTGGTCGGTAGCCCAGGGCCACCCGCTAGTCATCTCAATGCGGAGTGGTGGAGGTCTCACCCTCACTGAAAGTGTCTTACGGCGAAAGGCTGCGCCAACATATTATGGTGGAGATTTTCTCCATAATACCAACGAAATTCGTCAAAATATCAATAAGGTGTACAGTGAATTCTCAAAGGTATGTTATGAAGTCACCTGCACCACCATAATATGGAACAATTTCACCATAATAATTTGGAGAATCTTCACTACGGGCGACTTTGTACACATGAGTACACTAGTAAGGGTAATCTTCATCAAAACCCTCTGGAGTGTACCTTTTGTCGCCCTGCCACGCCTTGCTACCGTAGGTGCTGGTGAAATGCACCAACGCGCCTCGTTGCGGGAATCTGTTTCACTTCAAACTCGAGAAAGGAGTTCGCGAAACGGGTTCACACCTCCAGTGCCGCCCCACCGCCCTCGTTTCGCCGGCAGCGTCTGGGTGACCCCTGGCTGTGGTTTCAGAGTCAACGGCGGTGCAACTTGATGCTAATGGCGTGCGCACGCTCATGCTGGCCGCCAGCTTGGCCGGCCGGCTGTGAGCAGGCTGTCGCACACTGGACTAGAACACCGGTGGAGGTGGTTCTAACCCCGGACGCGTTTTGACCTCCAGAGTCGCTAAATGGGACTCGAACCGAACGTGTGACCCCACCAACGGATTGCTCTCCGAACGAGGAAACCATTGGTGGGGTCAGACGTTCGGTTCAAGTCCTGTTTAGCGACTCTGCAGCTCAAAACGCATCATGACTTCTGGCCGCTGGCGCCAGTCCCCGGGCCCAAGTCCCGCTGCAGGGGCAGATCTTAGGGAAGGCTACAAGCTTTGCATTCCGCTTGTAAGTCTCTCCCAAATGTGTTGGAGGAGCCACCCCTGTGGTGACGTCACCGCCACGTCACCGCCACGTCACCGCCGCGTCATCGCGGCGGACACGCGTTTCCTTGAACTCCCCCGCCATGTCCGGCCGTGTCCGGCCGCAAAGATTACCACTCGCTCTATCTATCGTGGGAAGAACGAAGCTCTGGCAGCAGCTGCGGCACACATGCATCGTTCGTGCTGCAAAGCGAGCAAGTGCACTGTCAAACCTCCACACTTTCTGGTGCGGAGGCATTTCCCACTCTTGTACGTGTTGAGTTTGCTGTCTCCACACTTCAGGTATGGGGTAGCTCACACAGCCCGCATTGCCCCAATCTCTTGGCAGGGTGAAAACGTGGAGAACTCCACACTAAGTGTGGAGACTGCAAACTCTGCGGTTTCACAGAGATAAAGTAAACGCACTGGCAGAGCTGAAGAGTGTCACACGCTTCGTTCTAGCACAGCATCGCTTGAAGACTATGCTCTGTGGTTCCAAACGCTATGAACATAGAACGTCTGCTGTAATGCAATGATGAGCACCATCACACTCTACGTACGAGACGCGCAAAAGTGGGACATGACTGTTTGACACTTGGAGGTGGCCATTACTACGGCCTCCGCTTGCAAGTGTACTTTCCTTCGCGTTTAGCAGTCCTTTCATACGATGGGCAACCACTCGAGGAATCGCGGCGTATGGATTTCCCCCGCGCTCGCTCTGAAACGAATTCCCCGAAAGCGCAAAATCAGCAGTTTCAGGCTCTCCTTGACTAAATCTTCGAATCCGACGAAATCTCTTCTCGGAAGCTTCTCTTCTCTCTACTCAAATCTCTCTTCCCTCGAGTCACGGGCCAACGGTCTAGAGAAAACGGCGAAAAAGCACCGCTATTCAGCAATCAACCGCAGTGCCGCTTCCCGAATCGCACTAAGTTTCAGTGCATCTCCGCACGGGAATGGCGGCCAGGGACGCCCTTACGCTCTTCACCCACACTCGGTCCGAGAGCGGCGTCTGTGTGCGTTGGCTGCGTGCATGGCAAAGCAGGGGGGGGGGGTTTTGTCGTCTTGTGGCGCACTGGCATGGCGGCGGCCCGTCCGGGTCTTCGGCGGAATGGCACGGTGACATCCAAGTTATTCAGGGGGGCATCGCTCAGCGTCCCCACTTGAAGTGTGCAGACTGCAAACTGTCCACTCGTCCGAGGGGAATCACTCCGCACCAGAGAGTGAAGGGTCCTCCCGGGTTCTCCACACGTGCTTTGAAAGTGCGGCCCGCAGCGAGGGGCGCGGCGTAGCGCGGCGTGGTGCGGCGTGGCGTGGCGCGGCGTGGTGCGGGGCGCGGCGTGGCGTGGCGTGGCGCGGCGTGGCACGACCCACGCGAAGCGAACACCGCGCCCTTTAGCTTCCACCCTTTGCATCCACTGTAGAAAAATGGATATGAAGCCCCGGCCCGCGCCTTGTTTCCGCTCCCGGCTGCGCCCAGGCAGACTGATTCCGAGAGTCGTTTCCGTCGCCGTCCTCTCTCTCACTCTGCTCTTCACTCTCTCCTACTCTCTCTCTCTCTCTCTCTCTCTCCTCTCTCTCTCTCTCTATCTCTCACTCTAACACGGCGCGCCCCGCGAGTGCAAAGAGGGACAGGCGAAAAAGCACCGTTGTTCGGAATCAACCTGCAGTGTCCGCTCGGCCGATTCGGCACTATTTGCTATTCGCTGTTTGCCGCGCCGCGCTGTGGCGGCTAATGGAGAGCGACGCCTCCCGCGGGCCGCGATACGTGTGCGTGCGCGCGCCACCGCGTGTGTCGGTTTGTGTGTTGTGTTGTTGCGGGGGGGGGAGTTACGTGGGTTGTCCGTGTCCGCGCTCAGTCCACAAACGTGCCGTTCTCGTTGTCGGCTGGGAATGGCCGCAGTGCTGTTCTTTTCTATTACTCTACACTGAATCGGTGACGTTGCCTCTCACCGTGGACGCACGGACGGCACCGCACGCCGGGGGAAGGGGACCCTAGGACTGTTTTTCATAGCGCCATAAGTACCACACCTTTTGTGCGTGCCTTCAGGCGGATGCTTGTTGCGCCCCCACTTTGAGGGCCGCACCGTGACGGCCTGACGGGGCCGTGGGGGCAATGTCCCTTTCCCTCTGAAGCCGCCTTTGACGGCACCCAGCCAGCCACCGCAAGGGCGGTTTGCAGGTCTGGCGGGCGACGCCGCGACGCCGCGGCGCCGCGACGCACACCGCGAACATGGCTCGCCTGCCGGAGCGGCGCTGCGCGGCGTGAGGGCGACCACGGGCACAGCCAACCGGTTCAGGAGTCAGTTGTCGCTCTGTCTCTGTCACACTCTACTCTCCAGAAGGGTGCGTGCGACAGAGACAGAGCGACAAACCGATCTTGAATCGCACCGTGGTTGGCACCGTGGTTGGCACCACCGTGGTTGGCACCGTGGTTGGCACCGGGGGCGCCCCACCCGTCGACATGGCTTCTTTACGGCCACAATTAAGGCGAGCCGCGCAGCCGAGCGATTCAGAAGCGGCGTTTCGTCGCTGTCTCTGTCGCACTCATGGGGCTAAGGGTGCGAGGGGGACAGAGCGACAAAGCGATCCTCTGAACCACCAGCTCGGAGGAATCGCGCCAACTGGCAGCTTTCGGCCACTTTCGCCACATCGTTCGTCTTTATGTCTTTATGACGCTGGCTGATGACTCGGCAAGGAAACCTAATTCCGGCGACAATCAAAACTGAAAAGGCACCGTCCACTTACTACGTAACCGAGGGGGCCACCATTCCCGTAATCCTGTGTACAAATTGGCTGGTAATCTCCGGTTACACTGCCCGCGCGCACTGCAGACATGGCCGTCCACACTAGGGGAGGACGGCCCCTAGTTGGCTGACCTAACCCGCGATCACTGTCAAGCGTTGAGGGCAGCGGAGCCTCGGGATAAACACCACAGGAGCGGGGGAAAATCGAACTACCCTATTTTAGCCGCGGCACCCAGGGAGAACAAAAAAGTCCAAATTATGTCAATGTGACCTCAAAATGAGGTCTTGGTCAAAATTTGGTCAATTTTGATGTCTAAATGACATCATTTGATGTCAGTTTGATTTGATTTTGACTGGCATTTTCTCATTTTGGCACTCGGAAATGCTCTCAAGTGCACTCCAAATACTGAGGTAAGTTAATGAGACGAAACAGTTGTTTTGTTTTCACCGTCAACCTTTAGGTTGACTCCTCATAAGAGTCAACCATGTACACTACGTAAAAAGTTTCCGGGTGAACGCCGCGAAGGTAGGCAGCCCTCCGTTCTGCTCCGAGGTGGCAGAACCGCTTACAGCCTGCAGCATAGGCAGCCCATACGGCAAGGAGGGGCGATGGCGACATGGCGACGGCAGCGCCTCTGGTGGCGAACGGCGCAAGCTCTGCGCCACGGCCGGCCACGCTCCGCTCACTCTCAAGGTTTTCAAGAAGCAGCATTGCTGTAGCCAGAAAAGCAAGCGGTCGGTGTGGGGCCATACTTCTAGGTCTAGGCACCCTTCCACTTACAGCTGAGAACGCCATTTTCGTGTCATATTCAAATAAGGTTAGGTTAGTGTCTCTTGTGCCACACTGAAGAAAGTGTTCTTATCCAAATTGATTAAATACAAATTACACGTTATTGGTATTTACATTTAAATGATTTGACAGGTGTGATATGGCTGGCCCTGTAGTACAATACATTGTGGTACGGGGAGACCTTGTCAGTCGCTTGGGATGGCCAGCAGGAGCGTTAATAGCTCAAGCCTGTCATGCCTGTACAGCTGTAACCCATCTTTTTCGAGATGATGTCCATATGCAGGTATACTTGTCGGATTTAGACAACATGAGGAAAGTTGTACTGGAGGTGAGTAGAATTTTCTTTTCATAATGGCCAATGGGCTGTTGTTATACCACAGGATTTACAGGTAATCTATTTGAAGTGTTAATCTTGTTCCTCTTTTAGGCTGAAAATGAAAAATCATTGCAAGAATTGGCTGCTAAGCTAGATGAAAATGGAGTTCTTCACAAGCTATGGATTGAACAGCCAGAGAACATTCCTACTTGCATTGCAGTAAAACCTCACCCCAAAGAGGAGATTCAGAAATACTTTAAGAAGTTTAAACTTTTTAAAGGTGCGATTAGTGGGTCCACATAATAATTGATTTGAATAAATTTAAGTATACAAAAAACCTACATTTATTTATTGATACAGAATCATATCTAGAGATAAGAGATTAACATTAGATCCCCTTATGATTTGAAGGCATTGTACACAATCTGGATTGAGCATGTAGCATGTATCAATACTGTAACCTACACAACAAATTTTACACATTAAACATAAAAGCTTCACTCCTCATCAAAGCAAGAACAGGCTAGCCATTTCTGACATTGCCATTGTGAGGCTGTCTTTAACAGAACCTATATGAGGGGGGAAGTCATGAAAACTTTTTGTTCTAAAGTGAAAACAATCCTAAATCTCGATCCTAGTTCACACTAAAGCATTTGCCAATTACGTTCCATACATTAAAATTATGCACCACACTTTATGTACTACTTAAGGATAGATGTACAGGTCTTCTACTAACAAATTGTACATTGCCAAACATTAGTAGTGATTTTAAAATAGCAAACTGGTTAAAAAGAAAAAGGAAAAAAAATAAACATTCCTAGGATTTTCAAAACTGCATCTCAAATTTCCCCTCTTTTCTTTAGGCTACACACTGAGTAATTTCATTGAATGCAAGAAATTTGAATAAGACTGTTGCAAAAAGAGAAGCTGGAAACTGTCAATAAAAAAATCATGAAGGATGATAGTTTTGGTCCTCAGTATTTTTGAAATGCAAGTTAGGGCTGCTTAGAACAAAAGATTTTCTTGCAGTGTGTATCACAGATGCATGCACTGGCATAACCATATCAAGTTGATCTATGTACTAGCAAAGGAATATCCTTGATATCTGAAATTTACTTTATGATACAATCACATAAGCATAATTAAAATATACAGAGATTTCCTACATATTAAGTTCTTAAGACCATGAACTGATCACATTAACAAGAAAACAAATTAAAAGAAAATAGCAAGCCAAATATTACTTAAAGTTGATGTTTTCTTCCAGCAAAGGTCTACATTAAGTATAATGTAACAAAATGGTGGGAGGTAGATTAATTGTATTCTGCAACAAACACTTCCTTGCAGTAAGTAAAGAAAAGACCATGAATAGAGATCAATAAAAGGGGGAAAAGCATGACTATTCCCACAATTCAAATTGGTCAAACTGTGCAATGTCACCACAACAGAAATGTGATAGGATCATTAATATCCTATTTTAAATATAAATACAAGATTTGTGTTTCCTCTTAGGCTTACATCAACGAAGGTTTAAAAAAAAAACAAAGAAAATTAGATAGAGCCCAGGCCAACACCAGCAACCTTCAACTTCTTACGCCGAGCATTTCGAGTCACCTCTGTGTCAGACATATCAGATTCAGAATCTTGATACTCCCTGGAGTCTCCTTTGTACAACCCTTCACTTGATTCTGCAGCAAAATTTCCTGTTGCTTTAGCTCGTTCTAATGTTCGAACTAAAAATAGGAAAGAGGAAATGTTACTCACAAAATTCAAAGTAATAGATATTCATAGCCTAAAAGGAACTTACTTTGAGCTTCAAGAAGTGAGTTTTGGCGTTTCAGGTCTTCAATGTCCTGCTGGTGAGCATTGTTCTTACGTCTCATGTATGTAATGTAATCGGATGCCTTTTTCAATATTTGAGCTCGGCTTGCCTGGGAAAAGTAAAAAATCATTCAGTCTTTGAAATCAAAGCAGAAAGAACAAGTTAAATGAACAAGCACTTACAACTTTCTCATTCTGAAGGGCAGGGACCGAGTCACGAAGGCTACTGAAACTGTCTTTGATGTGATCACGCCTTTTCCGTTCAAGAGCGTTATGATGAGCTCGTTTCTCAGCCTCCTAGCAGAAAGCCCGATTAAAATAAAGCAAACCAAAAACGGTGAGAAAAATGTGAGTGGAGAGCCAAACTAATTCTCTGAGCACACAGAGAACAATCAATGATCTCATTGTTTCGTGGGTGTTGTGTAATGATTCTACTACACATGCATATGAGGTTATGAGAGATACGAAAGTGGCAAACAACGGAGCCAAAATTATAAAAGTCAGAACGAGTAAAAATACTCACCATTGTTCGAGGAGGAACAACCACAACAAACCCGAAGGTCACCACAAAGTATCGTTCAAAACGTCCAAGATTTTCAATACAAAGCAACCTTCAAGAGGTTAATTGTGGCACCAAATCTCCAGTCAATGAAATGTAGTAGGCTGCTGCAAAACCGTTGAAACGAGAGCTTTGGAACGTCGACCAGCATCTGAGGGGTACGGAAATGGTCGCAAGTGAGGACTAGAAACAGTAATTCCAAGACAACACAACACAAAATTCACGGGATTCACCTGATACAAAACAAGAACAACAAAGCACGGCCTTTGCCGTCACACGACATGAAGGTCCAAAACAAAAACAAGACCTGCGAATAAGGGTCTGCTTCGGGCAGAGATCGGGGCAAGCCTTGACGCGGTTTGGCGCCTGCTCTTGCTCTTGGCGCTTGTAGCGGCGGTGCCATTACTGGTTCTCAGGGACCATTGAATAATTTTTGAAAAGGGATAGGAACCAAGAGGAAAGTGATCGGGATATTTCAGTCGATTTTACTGCTATGTTTTATTTTTTTCGACCTTCTTCTTTTGATTGTGAGTGTTTGTTTACCCCGTTCTTTTACAAGTTTTCTGATCATGAATAGGGAAACTATCACCCGTTCTCTTAGTTTGGGTTAGAAACGTCCATATATCTAGCTTTGTTTACGTTTGATCAATTGTAAAGGTTGTTGATTTTATTCAGATAATGGTGGTCAAAGCTTTCTTGATTATTTGTGGTATGACTTCAGCAAGCTACGTGCAAGCTTCTTGAGATTGAAGACCTATTTTCTTCTGCACTAGTTATGAGTAGAAACTTATATTTTCTTTCAATGTGATGTTATCTTTTAAATTCAAGTCGTACTATAACCAAAAATCTCAGTTTGTTTTTCATTACGGCCTTGGGTTCGTTAATGAAGCTGGACATGATTGTATTTGTATCATATAACTTGTTTGCATTTTTCATTGACAGATGACATAACCTAATTTCTTGTACTTTTTATTTACTATACATTCATGGCTAATCTATGTCGAATCAAGTATTTTCTTTTTCTATTTTTGCATTTCTCTTGATACATGAATCTAACCGTTTGTTCTACTGTCTCTATCCTTTCAGTCTGACACAACTATACAATGGAAAATGCCGATGCTCTTGACCTATCAAAAGAAAACATTCAACCTCTGAAACGAGGGCGGAACACTGCCCAGTTAGGGCTCGCCCTTCAAGCCCAGAGTGACCCAACATTGCATCAGATGTTTGCAAAGAAACAAGAGTGAGTTCTCTCTACCCAGGAGAACAATGTGAGTCAAATCTTCTATTAACTAATAATGTTCATTCTCATTTCAGATGGTATGAAATGCAAATTCGTACTTATAATGGCGAGGACCCTTTAGATTTATGGTGTGATTATATTTCCTGGATTGAGCAAAGCTTCCCAAAGCATGGTCCTGAAGGAAATTTAAGTTTGCTACTTACTAAATGTTTTCAAGCTTTCAAAGATGAGGAAAGATACAAGAATGATGCCCGATTCGTGGCTCTATGGATTAAATATGTAAGTTTTTTCTTGATTATTTATGGCGATTTGATGTCACTGGTTCCTGATATAGTTATTTTTTTATTTATTTACAGATAGAGATGCAAACTGGCAGCAAACGTGCAGAACTGTACCAACTTTTGCACACCCAGGGCATAGGGACGACATGCGCCGATTTTTATTGCAGTTGGGCATTTGAATTCCAATCTGTCAATGATTGGAAACAGGCTGATCAGATTTTTAAGAAAGGCTTGAGTAAAATGGCTCAGCCTATACAAACTTTAGAGACTGCGCACCAGTAAGTCTTCAACATTTTCTGAATGTTTGCTTAGGCAGTGTGTAATTTAGCTATATGTATTTTTTTTCTTCCTTTCCTATCTTAGACAATTTTTAGCATCCTATGTCTTTTCTCACCGAAGTAATGGTGATACGCCCGATGAAGAAGAAAATCATGTTCAGACAGATCATCGTTTACCAATGGCGGCTCTAAAACCCATTGGGAAAAAGAGTGCAGCTCCAAATGTTAGAGTTGGTTCAAATGTCAGAAGTCAGCTACCTGGTGTGTTGCCAGCAATGCAAGGATCTTCAAGCCGTTCAGGTTCTTCCTCTTCATCCAGAACATTTGGTGTACGAGGAAACAATGCAGGGCCAGTGGCAGTGTATCAGGTACTGCTGGGATCAAAATTTAACCTCTGGAGCTTTTGCTCGTTTTCTCATATGTGCTTCCCCTTTTTTGATGCGCTGAGCTTACAGAAGTTGTATTTCCAGGAACATGGTGAACCTGAAGTAGAAGCTACACACAGTCAAGCTGTTTCTTCCTCTCTGCCTATCACTCAATCGCTGAACAAGGAAAATATAGTTCGCGCTGGTCCATGGACTGGCCAGGGCTTGGGGTCTCGGAAACTACAAAGCACAAGCTATGCCCAGCCCTATGTACCAAGACAACCTGGTTTTGAAGGTAAAACATTCTGTTGATAGCTACTTTTGAATACTGCAGTATGAAATGTGCTTTATTAAGAAGTTACTTTAATGTTTCCTACCAGTCCACAAAGATGAAGATGCCAATGTCGGCAATGGTCAAGAAATGCGCCCTCACAGTACAACTGTTACCAGTGCACTTCAACCCCGAAAAGCCTTGGAAGATGGATTTCAGGATGCTATAGCCATTTTTGAGGAGCCAGATCCTTATTCTATCCCTAAGTATCGAAAGAATGAGGTATATATCCAAGTCAAAACCTCTTTTACTTATCATATATAATAAAGAAAACTTGAAAAAAATTTAACCTTTAATTTCTGTGGCTAGGTATATGCTGGAGGGAAAGAGTTTCAAGTAGAAGAAATTCATGCCCTCGATTATTTTCGCATGAAAGCGGAGAAGGAGCATAAAACAAAGGAAAGTCTAGTTCATCCTGATCATAAAGCTCTCTATCACAAAAAATTGATCCCCCTAGAAGAAGTAATGCCCCAGGATGTTCAATGTTCAGGATCATATGGTAAGACTCGCTGCCTGTGTTAAATGCCATTTTGGTTCTTTTTTTGTCCTTTAAATCTAATTTTAATAACAATTGTTGTCCACTGTGGATTATAATTAATGTTTTTGCCCTTTCATGACACAGGTAATGGTCAAATGAACGTTGGAGACTTTCACTCACCAGTCAGAAACGAACCTTCAACATCTGAAAGCCTTCCTGTAAATTTTGTATCTGCTTCCGACTCCAACAATTATCTTGCACCTCCATCAGCTTATGGGGTCCCTTTATCTGCTGAGGCTGAGATAGTACATCATCACATGGAGCATAGTGAACAACCACCGCTTGGACATAGACCATCCAATCAATCTATGCACAATCATTCTATGACACTCCACACCAAACTGGCTATGCGAGAAGTTAACAATTATTGGGGAAGCCCTTCAATTGTGAAATGTTAGTTCTTTGTTTGGATCTTAATGTACTAATGTTTAATTTTATTTTGACCCTATTTATTCATTCTTAATTATTTTTTTTCCAGCACCTACACTTGTACAAAATTTAGTCCCTGAGGAAGTGTATCATCAGCCTCCACCATTCCAAATAATGAAAGATGATACTCCACCACTGCAAATGTCAACATACCATGGAAATGAGACATTTCCCCATGAAGAAATGATCAACACCACATCATACACAAATGGTTTCCAAATTTATCAAGAGCCCCAGTATCAGGCACCTGTCGAACCCAGTCAAAGCCAAAAGTTTGCAGTGTTCTGTGATGATGCAGATAATAATATTGGACCTGTTCGTACTTTGAGTATGGAGAAAGGGGAACAGTCATCCACTTATACTTCAGGTTCATTGATGCATAAAGTTGCCAAAGAAAAGGAGAATATTCATAAATTTCCCATTGCGGACATGGAGCTCATGGAAGATTGTGGTGTAGCCCCTGTGTCAGATGTTACATTACATCAGCCAGAATATAATGACTATGGAGACTACTCTCACATGCAAAGCCCTCCGGAAATGTATTCTCAGCAGCCAGTGCCAGTCTCCATGGCTTCTCATGACATGGTTTCAGAGCCCCACTCTCATGATTCAAGACAGCCCGCTCCAGCTCATGTCTTGACGCAACTCACTCCTGTCTCATCATCGCACAGTATGATGCATTCCGCTGCGGCACTGCCTGTGTCTTCTTCAGATGCTGCTCATGGCATGTTACTTCCTCCTGCTCCTACTCATGGATTGGTGCAACCAGGCCCGACGTTAAATCAGGTTAATACACTGGTGAAACGCAAGCATGAAAACTGCCCTTAAGAGTGGCGTGAATTCGTATCACACTTCTGGGAAAAATTTTAATGTCCTGTCAAAGGCACAACCTCATAGCGCCCTTAAAGGGTGTGAGACACTGATATGCCCTGACGGACGTGGTCTTTATGCTTTCTATTTCATTATTACATTTATTTTAATATTGGGATATATTGTCTTAATTTTTGTGTGTTGTTTGTTTCCCTGTTAGGTATACCAGGAGCCAATGGAAGATGATACTATGGTCGCCTCTGCCCCCCAGTTCGGAGTCAATATGTCTGAAACTGGTATCACAGAAGCATTCTTCTTTCCTCAAATGGGAGCTGTATCAACTCCTTTCAGAGTGTCACCAAAGAAATCTCGGGCGTCCAAGAGTTCTATAGATTTCAACAGGTAGAACTTTCAAATGAATTGATGCATTCCATTTATTCCAATATTTGTTTCTTTGTTTTTAGGCTCCTGATTTGATCTGTCACTCTTTCTTTCTAGCTCTTTGTACCGCGTAGAACAGTCTTGGCCAGATGAAGAGGAAAATGGTGCTCAAGGACTAAACCGAGCACCAGATGCTCCTAAGACAGTGCCACCTCTGAAACTCTTCAGGATAAAGAATGACTCTGACCAGCTAAGCGCAATAGTAGAAACATCACGAGAACAATGTCCAAGTGCATTTTCAAATAACATGTCATCTCTTGCAACAAATAGTCGATACGGAATGTACTCCACTCAGAGGGATAGCTTTGGTCCCACTCCATACTTAAACCAGATTAATGAGTCACCAGACCCATACCAAGAACCATACAGTCAAGAGCAAGCCCAAACTGAAGTTCAAACTGAAGTCCAGCCTCAAGTCCAAAATCAACCAGTGATCCCAGCCAGAGACCCAGAGATCCTTGATCCTGAACAGACGGCTGAAATGGCTAGAAGGCTTGAGAAGAGAGAGATAAACCCGTTTGATTCGAGGCTGTTGAAGTTCTTCTTGGCTCGCATGGAATTCCCTCTTCCCCATCATTCTGATGGATATCATGTTGTGAGTGGTGCAGTTCCAGCTCAAAGAAATAAATGTCTCAACCTTAGTAAGTAACTTGTGAAGTATACATTCAAAGCCTTAGCCCAATTTCATTGGAACTCTGTTTTGATTATTATTATCATTATTTCCTATTTCAGATGGAGAAGTGTATACAGTTGCTAAAGTCTTGGGAGAAGGGGCATATGCTAAGGTACTGAAAGGAGTGCACACAATTACTCAGAAAGAAGTTGCACTCAAGGTTCAAAAGCCTTGTTGTCGTTGGGAGTACTATATATGCAGGGAAATTCAACATAGACTTTCAAATCAAGATCTTGTATCAGCCTTTATGCCAGCTGATCACATTTATGTTTACAATAACGGCAGTGTCATTGTAACAGATCTGCTCGCTTATGGAACCTTGCTAAATCTTGTTAACAAAGTTTTTGCTTCTACTAAACGTCAAATGACAGAGCTGCAAGTTCTATATTTGCTTGATCAATTGTTAAGTGCTGTTGGAGCTCTTCATAAGTGCAGAATAATCCATGGAGATCTGAAACCAGACAATATTCTTATAAGATCAATACCAGGATCAGGACCTGGACCATGTATTCAATTTATTGACTTTGGGCGAAGTATAGACATGAGTTTAATGCCTGATGGAGCTACATTTGATACAGTTGTAATGACAGATACATTTACATGCATTGAAATGCGCACTGGTAAACCATGGACTTACCAGGTAGGTTTTATCAACTAAACCTTACGTTATGTATCTTTGAATTTTTTAAAAGAGTAATACCACATGTTCTTTGGAAATATTTACAGACTGATTTGTTTGGACTTGCTAATACCACCCATTGCCTTCTGTTTGGAGACTACATGAAGGTTCAGGAAAGCAAAAGTTCCGGCAGATGGGCTATTCAATCAAGGCTTCCAAGGTAATGGCCAATCTAAAACATTTTGTTTTTCAGTTTTGAATGATTTACCCAATCTTTGAAAGTCTGGGTCAATGTTACAAAGATTTAAACTTGTTTTTATCCTTTTCTTTCAGGCATGTAAATGGAGAATTCTGGACTCCATTTTTTGACACATTATTAAATATAGAATCATGTGATTCTCTGCCTGATTTAGAATCGATACGATCTGATGTTCAATCACGTATGAGTAACAGTTCTCAATTAAGTATGACTGTTTCTGCTTTGGGCCGTTTATTACTCAGTCGATGATTATCTCCTACCACAAGTCACTCGTTAAAATACTTCATAGATAATGTGATAAACCCTGGCTGTGTGACTTGTGGTCATTTTATATACGGTATGTTTACCATGTAATTAAAGAGTGCAATTAATGAATTTATTACTTGATTGAAGTCATGTTATGTATGGTATGTTCCTTTGTAGCTACTGAGTTAAAAATTTGCATGTTAAAGAAAGAAAGAAATAATTGGACAGAATGTGAAATATTTTCTATTTAATTGTGTTAAAAAGCTCAGGATTGTGTATTAGTTTGTAAGATCCAACAGCTTGTGATAATCTTCTCGGCATTTTAGCCAAACATCTTTCTGTGGTGTTGTTCGCAATGGATGCGAAAGTTGTTTGCATTTGTTTGAAATAACAACTTTGGTTTCCATATATTTGTTTTCTTCCCATCACAAATCCCACAACTTATTTTTTCTGTTTCTTTCTCAATCTATTCAAGCTTCTCAAGGTTGTCTACAGGAGATTCACAAGGCAACACAAATGACTCAAACATTTTATTGTACTGCTCTCACACAAACAATGGGAACAATTCAGAAATATCGCTTCATGAATCAGAAGAAAATATTACTTTTTTTTCAGAGCCTTCCATCTGATTCCTTCAATTTGAATATGCTTTTAAGGGGTGACAATATCTTTTCGACAACTGGCACACTCCATGCTTTTCCAAGCAAGCATTCCCTCTTACGGATTGAGAGGTTTGGCCCATCAGTAAAGTGAGTGGGAAACCCAAATAACCGCTCTCTTTCTGTGATAAGTAAGCCGGTTTCATGTCCATCTTGTATCACAGGAAGCAGCACACCTCTCCCTGTAACATATTTATCTCATGATGAAAAATATCTTTCAAGGATCTAGGCAGAGATGATGTCAGCTGCAACTTGCATTTAACTCTTACCGCACTGTGAGTGATATGTGGTTGTGATTGTGGGCAAACTGACAACTTGGGCTTTCCGATAGGGCTCCAGAATTTTATCCAGGTATGGTGGCGGCTGCTCTGTTTTCTGGTCTCCATGAAGATTGGGTATGTTTCCCCAGAAGAGCCGTGCCCTCTTGGCAGGGAGATACTGACTGGCATCCCATTTGGCAGGTCTGCATTGCAAAGTTCTGCAACCAATGCCGATGATATTATTTTCAGATGAAAATGTGCTGACATATTTCAAGCTGTTCACTCCAGCCATACTGTATCAGTTCTAAGGACAGGGAAACAAAGGGCTTGAATACTGAACCATACTTTGAAATGGTGTCCCTGAAGTCATGAGGCATTGATGCCACATTTTCAAACAGCCAATAGAGAGGTCTTCCGGAGCGGAGAGCTGATGCTTGTAGATATTTTAGAATTCTGTTAAAATCAAAAAACAGGACACCAGTGTCCTCTACATCTAGACAGTAAAAAAAGCAAACGAAATTAATTTTTAAAAAAAATTAAAAAACAAGACTAAACATGAATAAGCCTTTTGTTTGCATCCATAAACTTATACTTGCCATATAAGCCCTTCCGCCTAGGATTAGCTAAACTCAACTGATTACAAGGGGATCCACCGATCAAAAGATCAATTCGACCAAGAGAGTCTAATTTGTGGGGGGTCAAATTGGTCACAGTACTCAAATGGGTCATCCTTCCATAAAAACGGTAGTCCAAAACCGACAAAGCATCCTCATCAATTTCACATGAGAAATATTCTTCTACCTCCAATCCAAGATTATCCAGCACAAGAAGTCCTAATTGTAATAAGACATTTATAAACATGTTACTTGTCACAAAGGCACATAAAGAGGAAGAGGAAGACACCTTAATCATATTACCTGTTCCAATACCATCAAATAGGGAAAGAACCCTTAGTGGCTTTTTGTCTTCTAATTGAAAACCATTCTCAAGTTGGAAATTCTGAAACTGAACAAAATCAAAAGAGCAATAGCTGATACAGTATAAAATTTTAAAAATATACTGTATTTTAAAATGGGGTGCCTACCTTCTCTCTAAAATCATGTCTTAGTCTTGGCAAATGTGCCTTTTCATCCTCTGGGACACAATTGAAGCAGATCAAGCTGTTGAATGTGAAGGAGAGAATCCAGCATTTATAAAACATTAATTAAATATAATGCAACTACTTCACTCAATTATATTGCCTTACCTCTCTTTTAGGATAGTTATACCATTAGCAGCAGCACAATTGACACACTAGGGTTGAAAAAAAAATCAAAATTGTGAAAACAGTCTTTAAATACAGCACTAAAACTTTTTATGCAACAAATATTTGTCAATTATATAAAAAGATGGGTTGTCTACCTTGATAGATCCTCCAGCTGCCCAAATTGTCAACAATTCTTTACATTTCAACTGAAACAGAAATCACGATTTGACACCAATATCAAGATGAAACAATTCCAGTGATCTTTAAACACGGCCTTTCTTTAATGGGATATCTTACATAGCAGCTTGGACAAATTCGCCCATACAGCCATGGATGGTCCTTGCTCTGATCCTTGTCAACCACCTCCTGGCAAAGTTTGCAAGTGACCTTCGGAACAAAGGCGAATTTGCGTCCTCCTCTTCCTCTCCCACGGGTGGAGCTGGTTGGTGGACCACCAGCTGGATCAAAATTTAAAAGACAAGGGTCCCTTTACTACACTGGCAGAACTGAAGCGTACTTTTAGGCCCTTCTCCAAGCGCATCTCTGGTTCGCCCCTCCCCTCTCCCGCCTATCCAAATACATTCCTTCTTTACGCTTGACTCGAAGCGCTAAGTCTTCAAGCGTGGTTGTATGCTTGAATGAGGCGTACAACAGGGCTTCGGTTTTACCAGTGAACAAGCAAGAGGAAAAGCACCAAGAAGCTTACCCACAAATGTGCCGCTGCCGCCCGGCTGGTCACTTCCCTGCTGCTGTTGCTGCGAGGCTGACCGGCTGCGTAGCTTGTACCGCTTGGGAGGGGGCGGCACCAGGAAGCTCATCGTCTCCAATTCGAGTTCAAATCACAATCAGCAATGACAAATTATCCAGATCTAGTTCACACGCTCTAGTAGAGGCCTCAGCAAGAAGCGTCTCGTCTCCCCTGTCTTGCCGGCACCATGGGGTATTTGCAGTGGCAGGTTCAGCGAGATCCCCCCGAGATGGCGCTCGGGTCGCACAAGACAGCTCAAGTCAAGACACCTTCCCGTTTTTTAGTTTTCCCAATCTTTGCCATTATAAACCCCAAAACTGATTAATTTCACCAAAAAATAATAAATGCAAACGTCATTTTTCACGAAATTACCTCCCCCCCTCTATTAGACTATCCCGAAACGCTCGGCAGCAGGTCACTAGTCTCAAGCCGTCATTCCCTGCGTTGCGGCCGGGAAATTCAAAACCTCTTTTTCTTTCTTACTGCGACGACTCCACCGAAATACATAAAATGGACTGAGCTACTGGGACGTGAGAGGGACTGGGAGCACCAAGCAAAGCTTGGGAGCTGAGTTAGGTCACAAACACCTCTCGCGCGAAAAAAAAATGTATTTCACTCTATCAGTATTGTATATTACTGTACGACGATTTCCGAAATGTTTTGTTAAACGTGTTAAATTGGATAAAGTAAAATGATATAAATAATTTAAAAAAAACACACACACACACACACTTGGATGATAAAAGATCCGAGTCGGTCGGAATCGGTAATACAGGTGTAAGGTGCTCAAAAATACAGTTTTCATAGCAACCTGTCTAATAATTTGCATGATGATTAACCAAAATGGATACACGTTCAGGAGAAATCCATCGATTGGGAAGTTAAAAAAGATAGACCTGAGCAAAACAAATGTAAAGGAGTTACTGATAGGTGAAATCTGACTATCCACTATGACCAATCTCAGGCCACCTTATGGGAGGGAATAAAAAACCTCATACTAATGTGGCATGGTCTCAGCATGGTTTGGTCTTTTCACCCGGAAATACCCCAAATGGACCCAAAGTAGTTGAGAGGAAGCATAAGCATGGTGTAAGCTGTGCTATTAAAACAAGATGTAAAAATCAGCACATAATATAATTTATTCCTTGAAGGATGTTTTTTAACAATAAAAATACTGTAAGTGTTATAACATTAGGCATGGATAAAAATTTCATCACAGTTGTACAGGAAAAAAAATACAAACAGGGAATGAGATTCTGATATACTAGAGCTGCAGAAAATCTTTACCTTCTATCATATTTTTTGTAATATAAAAACAAACTTACATAGAACAATAGAGAGATAAACATGAAATGTTGAAAAGTTTTTTGCAAACTCCACTTAAACAACAATTGGCTTTTGTGTAAACAGAACAAAAAAGAAAAAACTTTCACTTTGCCATCAATGTTAAGTCATCATAAATTAATCTCTGGCTCTGGATCCCCGCTCAATAAATTTTACGTTCCCCAACCAATTCACAAAATCCTACTCTCATATGCATCCTAATTTATCACAGCGATTTAGTACAACATAAGTATCAAGCACTCATTACACAGAGGTGTTAGAGATAGATAAATTCATAGATAAAGGTATAACTCTGATTACATCTATTGAGATTTTAAGCCACAAAGCCATAACCACAAAGAGTTTTCCACTTAGATCAATTAAGTCCTGAATCATGATGTTTCAATTTACAAAGCAAACTATTGTCACTTTAAATAATAAATAAATGAAGCTACACTACAATATGTACATGTACACTCAACATCAACTACATGACATGAGAAGCATTGGAATCTTCATAAGATGTGGCGAAGTGGCACACACAGATTTAAATATATCTCACACATTATCCCACTTACACTATAGATTTATAGTTTTAATGGAAAAGTCTCCATGTTAATAAAGTCAAGGAAGACAATTAAGAAGTTATGAATAAAGTTCATTATCACAAACCAAAACCGATTCGTCGGCTGAGGGTCAAAGAAGACATGCAGCCTATGTCAGCTTTGAGTTAAGTACATACAAGCTAAATATAGTTTTAGCACCAGTTCGAAACGTTAATTAGAAATTAAGAGAGAAGTTCTGATTTCTTCATTGGAGCAGCATCTGTAGTATCATCCGTAATATCAATTGCACTGACCTGAGTCTTATCACACATGCATCAAATTACTGGCCCCATCTGCTACACCGCAGTAGAGGCCTGCAATTGTCAATGCCATTTTGCTTTTTGAGCCCATATATCACTTCGAAGATGTTGAGCAAAACAAATGCCCAAAACCTACAAAACATACAAGACAATTATTGGATGGAATGTTTCACTGAATGTAGGTGTAAGAAAGTATAAAGATATCAACCTAATAAGCCTCTGTGTACCATAACTAACACTAAACGTAATTACAAGCTTCAAACTAAGTAAGTATTTTAAAATAATGTTTATGAATTCACTTAATAACAATAATTGTACAAGTATATACCTTAAGTAGGTAATTTCCTACATAGGCTTAATAAAAAATGGTAAAGCCAGCAGAATAAGCAAATTCTTTAACCCAATCAGTATGCAAAAAATACATTGCTTAGGATACAAAAAAAATAATCTGCAACTACAGGAGTACTTTATTAGAGAGCAATCATGAAAATGTTATATGTAGTGTTGTGGTGATTCATTGTGCTGTCTTAAGTCTGGATCTCAAGAAATAGTGGTATTATATCTTGTTTCTTTGCTACCTGCATGTAAGTCATAGGGTGTTTTTTAACAACTGATGTAACATAATCTTCCCAATGTGAGGTAACCAAAATAAATACTGTACCTGCACAAAGGCTATGATGACAGCTGCACAAGCCAGGAGCAGGAGGTTCCGCTCAACCCATTCTTCACCCGCTTGAATGCAACCTTTCTCGTAGATAATTTTCGCAACGTCATAATTCTGGAGACATGCAGCAAAACAAGCTTATGAGCTAATGAAATCTCAAGTCTTTTCCTACAAATAGGTGCACAGAGGAACAATCGAAAAACCATGCCATGCAACAACATGCAGCCCAAGCAAGCACCAAATCATCCAAAAAGTGTACCTGACAGATTCCAACAGTCATGCCTGTAATCGCGACACGAATTAAATTGGCTTCCATCCATTCTTCCCCAGCTCGTAAACATCCACGCTCAAATATTTGCCAATCTGATGGTGATTGAATATGCTGTGACCCCTGAGACAACTGAAAAGTTTCAGCATTGTAGGACTAAACATTCCCATCCACTAAGGAAAAATAATTTAGAGGAATAAAATCAGATTAACAAAACCACCAGTAATGACAAATTGAAAGAAATGTATTCAGCAACACAGGTGCTGTAGGATAGTGTCCTGGAACTGCTTGACTGCTGACTCTACAGTGGGGGATGCGAACGTGAGGAATTTTGATTTCTTTGGTTGCAGGTGTAATATCAGTCCATGAGACAGAAATTTAGACAATGCCAACAAAACAGACCCAGGCAACAGTGCTGCCATTTAGGTGCCCCCTCATCACAGTTTGTTGCTGCCCGTTTAGATCAGGGCTTCATTAGGTAAGACAAGGCTTCTAACTCTGGTTCAAATTCTAACGTGCTAGAATAATGAGTCAGATGGTCAGAACTCACCAGTTGGAGCCTGAACAAGTAGGAAACATTAACTTGATAAAGCCCAGGATTCACATTGATAATGCTATGACTGTTATAAATAATCTTTGAGATCCTTGGATTTCGGTCCCTGGATAAGCAATATGATCAGCAATGCAAGAAAAAATCCACAGCCACATTTCAACCTGTTTTTTGTAAAAAAGAATCTCTACTGATTTTGGAAATTAACTTTTAATGCTCAAAGCTATTGGGAGAAGAACCCAAGCATAACATGACGCATCTAACACTTTCCCACTTTCAAGCAGTTAATCAAGAGCATAAAATCAGATGCTTGGAGCTTGCAACAGAACAAATCTGAAGAATAGATAGGACTCGCACACACATGCAGACACAGAAACAGAAATTTGGTTATGAAAGTAAAGTGAAAGCCGCTTACAATTTATCAATCCCCACAGAGCATTGCAATGTTTGTCTGCCTCCTAGCATTTACTTAGCCTAAGCCTTTACCCTAAAGCAACATGATTTTTTATCCCCACTCCATTAAGAATATTACACCCAATTTAGATAAAATAAAAATGAATAGTGAATAGCCCATACACTTTTAATTCTCATTACTGGTGACCTGCCAGCTAAGCAGTTGACCAGTGGAGCATGCACTTAAAAAAAAAAACCAGCAAAACCGCCAAGAGTGGTAACAAGAAACTGATCTCCTTCCTTTCTATCCATTAATCATGTTCAGATGTTGTAAGCATATTTAATGTACTTACATAGCCAGGTTTCCGCACATCATAGCCGCATTGTTTATTCTTAATGATTTCCTGTCAAGAGAGAATATGCAGTAGTGTGCTCGGTACACCCAGCCAATCATAAAATTCCAACAAACACATCAACATCACCTACATTGGGTCTTCTTCGACAGCATGAGAATGGGACCCCACACGCTTCTCTGCTACCCACTTCACGGGAAGAACAGTTAAAGTAATTGTTCCGATCCCAGTCTTTGGGACCTTCAATCCCACAGCACTGGAGCTGAAAAAATAAGTTAAACAATTAGGAAAAAATATAATGTGGGAGCTTAATGGATTATTGTTGTAGCAAAACTCACCCAGTCTTCTTGGATCCAATCAATAAGGTTTTGCTGATCTGGATCCTCTCTATAGTGCACAATAAAGGCTTGGAAACCTCCAGTTGCTTGTGCTTTGATCTGAAAATAAAAGGACATGAAGGGCGTGCAAATCCGCTTTCTTGATTTCATTAAGAAAATCAATGAACTTACCCAATCTTTAAAAACAAATCCCAAAATGCCTACAGTCATCTCTGCTAGAAGTAGCAAAGCAAGAATGATGGCATACTGTAACAAATAAAATAAAATCGAGAAAATGAGGAAGTAAATGTGGAACTAAAATCTGTCATAATTGTTTATCAACAAATACAAACCCCTAATAAAAGACACGTATTTTCCCGTAGAGCTCCAACACATCCAGTGAAGCCTATAATAAATGTGAGTGTACCTTACAAAAGACATAAAAAATTAATACATTTTTTAACAGATCAAAGAACAATTATGTTAAGTGCTTCAACTAAAAGTTAGAAATACGATGTATCAAAGAAGGAACATTTATGTGACACGGCTGTAAGCAGTTCCGTTCTTGTGAAGCCATTTCGCTTAAAACTTGTTAAACTAACCGACAAGAATGAGCACAAACGCTGGATCCAATGCGATGTTAGTGAGTCGGCCGAGGTTGTTGAATGTGTCCTTTTCACTCCAGGCCCAAATGCCAATAGTCAAAATACAGAGGCCAAAAATCTGTAAACAAGGACACAGCACTCTTTGTCAGTGAGGGAAGGCCCCAGATGCAATGCAAGGCGTTAGCAAGACGAGAAACACGGAGCATTGTTCACAAAATACTTGAAATAAATATGGCAAAGGGTTAGGGGTTGACTGACCCAGAACAAGACGTTGGTCCCGAAAATGACATATTTAAGACAGCAGCTAATTTCGCTTGGTTCTCGCACAGTTGTCTGGGGCCTCGGGTGCTTGCGAGCAGCCCGCTCAGCGTTCTGTGCAGCGGGCATGGTTGTGTCGGGGCCCCAACACACCCACGATCAGCTCCAGTTCATTCTCCTCTCCAACCTAGATTGGACGGTCAGTTTGACAACAACTGAAGCTGGAGCTGGAATTTGCAGACAACTGTACCTGTGGCAGCCATGACACCTACAAACTTTCTGCACGCATCTTCACTTGTTTAGCAAACAGCTCGTCGAAATAAAAAAATTCTCGCGTATGGGAGCACGTTACACAAATCCCAAGCCTAGCAAACCCCGCGGAAAAAAGAAGCCTACTATATTTGATGTCTGGCGACGAAGTGAATCAAGCGCAATGTTACACTGCTTCGCAGGGCTACTGACGGCGAAGCAGAGCCAGGGGGTGGCGAGGTTGGTACGACGGCCCGCGACGCTGGTCACGCGTTTTGAACCCCGCCGAGGAACAGGCCATTCCGGACGCACGTGCGTGGACTTCGATTTCAGCGTGATAGGGTTCGTCAACACTGCAAGTTGCCACGGCCTTGTGGACGCGGAGACGCGGCACTTCGTTCATGAACCAAGGAAGTACTGATCGCGATCGAAGGCAAAGCTTTGCTTCGCGTGTTCACGGCGTCAGCAGAGCTAACCTAGGACGGCACTGATTCCGGGCTCCGCTACCGTCGCTGCCGAGTGATTCAGAAGATGGGTTCGTCTTCGTCGCTCTGTCTCTCTCGCACCCTTACGGAGAGCCCCAAGAGTGCGAGAGAGACAGAGCGACGAAACGACTCTACTGAATCGCTCGGCTGTCTTCATCGCGCTCATGGCGTCACGAAGGGCGCGGGAGAGACAGAGCGACGAACAGTGCGGGCTTGTTGGGGCAACGACGAAACATGTCACACCGATTCGAATCAGATTCGCACAACGGCACGCACGGGCGGGTCCGGCGGGCAGCGCCGTGGGGGTTCCACCCTCTGTCTCGACCCTCCACTGTGAAACCGAGTGTGGGTGTGGAATTTGGAGTGTCCGCACTTGGAAGTGCAGAGTTTCCTCCAGTCCCCATACTTCAAGGTGTGAAGTTCTCCACCATGCTGAGAGATAGGGGCTTTGTGGGCTACTCCGTACTCGAAGTGCGGAGACTGCAAACTCGACACGTCCAAGTGCAGAGGGAAAATGACTACTCCGCTGTGGCCGGTTTGACAGTGAACGGCTAGGAGCGAGGAACACGCTTCAGACTGAGAGTCGCATTCGTCGCTGTGTCTGTCACACACACGGGGCGTCTCGTCTATGTGCGAGAGAGATAAAAAGAGACGAATCAATGTGCCGACCGGAACCGCGGGTCTTGAACCGTGTGTCCCGCTGCCGCCTCTCATGCTGCCCAGGCACTGCCATGGGCGCTAGCGGGAGCCGTGGGGCTCTGCTGGTTGCCGGCCGAATGCTAGGCCGTAGGGCCGTAGGGCACCGTAGGGCCGTCGTACCGGCAAGTCCATCCGGCCGCTGGTTCCCGACCCAAAGCCAAACACCCAAAGCAGCCCAAGCCGGCATGCTGGCGGTGCTGGCACGCGGGCCGAGCCGAGCCCAAGCCGAACCCAGTGGATCAATCGGGGCCGCTCGGCGCGTCGCCCCTCCTCGACGCCGGTGCCGCCAGACCGCCAGGGCTTGGGCCAGGGCTTGGGCCACGCTGCCGCCGCCGCGACCACCGCCGCCGCCGCCGTCCCGCTGCGCCCGCTACGCCGCTACTACGGCCCGCGAAGGGACGGCAGGCGAGGGGAGTGGCGGGCAGGGGCGCGGGCCGCGGGGGAGTGGAGAGAGGTGCCTCCGGCCCGCGCCGCTCCGCGCTCCGCCCCTCCGCCCCCAGCCTGCCCCCAGCAGAGTGCGGCCGGGTGCGGCACTAGCGCGGCCTGGCCTCAGCGACTCGACGGTCGAGCGGCGTAGCGGCGTCGGCCGACGCAACGAGTTCAGTTGTCTGCTCGCGCGGCAGCTTGCGGCAGCGTGCGGCACCGCGGCACCGCCACCGGCAGGACACTGGGAGTCTCTCCACGACGAGCGGCGAGTCATCCGCGAGCACGCCAAGCAAGGCGACCCGAAGGGCCCAAAGGCGGCGTGCAGCGAGCGCGGCGCCGAGTGTGCGGAACGGTGTTGTGCGTGCAAAGCAGTGCAGAGGCCCTTCCGCGGGCGGATAGGGAAGTGCGGGCAGTGCGGTGCCGGACAGCCGCGCCGGGCATTCGCAGGACCGCGCAGGGCGCAGGGCGCAGGGCGCAGGGGAGAACCGCGTTGCGGGGCGCCAGCGGACCCAGTGACACGCCCACGGAGCAGCGAGGGCGCAGGACGCAGGACGCAGGGCGCCGCCAAGGATACGGCAAGGCGGCGGACAGTGCGAACGACGTCGGCGAACACACGGCCGCCACCATGACGGAGGACGAGGTGCTGTTCGACGACGTGTACGAGCTGTGCGAGGTTATTGGCAAGTAAGTACACCATGCTGCTGTGGCGGCCTGTGGCGGCCCCAGGACCGGAGCCTTGCCTCCGCCCATCGTGTTTACAGTGGAGGGGGGCGAAGCCAGGCGAAGCCAGGCGAAGCGCGCGGCACCGCGGCGGCATGCAGCGGCACCGGCTCCTAGCAGACGACGCGGCGGCCGCGGGGCCGCGAGGGCCGCGGGCCGAGCGCGGCGGCGTGGCGGCCCGCGCGTCAAGACAGCCTGCCCAGATGTTCCGCTGTTCTGCTGTCAAAGCAAGTCCGCGCGCCGGCAGGCGGGGCGGGCCTGCCGGGCCTGGCACAGACGACGCAGCCCGCGAGCCCGCGAGCAGCAGACTCAATCCGCGAGTCGTTCTCGTCTCTCTATCGCGCACCTTTACGGGGCGCCCTGTGAGTGCGAGAGAGACAGAGTGACGGAAACGTCTCTGGGAATCAGTCAGTCTGCAGCGAGCACCTCGCAGGCCGAGTCGCGGGGCTCATCCTGGCCTGGCCGGCCGGCCGGGCCCCAGACAGACACTCAGACACTCTCGGCGTGGCGGAGCGTGGCGGAGCGTGGCGGAGCGTGGCGGAGGGGCCGGCGGACGGGCCGCGCTGGCAGCCGTATGAATGCAGCGGGCCGGCGGCGTGCGTGCGGCGTGCGCCGCCAACATGGGCCCCGCCGCGCGACGCCGGCTCGGCCAGGCCTGCCCCGGTCGGGCAGGCAATGTTGGCGGCAGGCCGGTTTTCCTGCAGACTGATTCGGAGATTCGTTTTCGTCGCTCTGTCTGTCTCGCACCTTTACGGCACGCCCCATGAGTGCGAGAGACACGGCGCGACGGAAGCGACCCTCGGAATCAGTCTGCCGGCCTGCTCGTGCCGCAGAGCTGCGAAGCCGCGAAGCCGCGCGACGCGTCAGACCGCGATACGCGCGCAAGACGCATGGAAATCGGCAAGCGTGAGGGAGGGCCGCGAGGACTGCGACGACTGTGACGACCGCGACGACCGCGAAGACCGCGAAGACCGCTACGAACGCGAGGACCGCGAGGACCGACAGTCGGTCGCAGCGTTGCCACGCCTGTCTTGGCGCCGCGCGACGCCGCCACCCAGAGAGCACGCCGCGCCGCCCTCCGCTTCGGCCCTGCAGGGCTAGGCCGCTAGGCCGCTAGGGCGAGGGGTGGCCGAGTGGGTGGCGGGGCGGGGCGGGGCGGGGCGGGGCGGGGCGGGGCGGGGCGGGGCGGGGCGGACTGATATTCGCGGGGCGGGCGGCTGCCGTGTCCCTCGGGAAGCCCTGCCCGCGCCTTCGCGGCGCTGCACAGCCAGCACAGCCATAAGCACAGCCATAAGCACAGCCGGCGTTCCGTCGCTCTGTCTCTCTCGCTCACCAACGGGGCGCCGGCGCGGTGCAGAGGTGCGAGAGAGGCAGAGCGACACCTTCCGGAACCGTGCCCGCCGCCGTCATCCGCCCCGGCGGCGGATCGAGGCTCGCAGCCTCGCACTGGGTCGCGAGGCGCGGTGCGCGAGGCGGTCGTGTGACTCGCGGTGACGAAGACGAAGGTGCGCTGCGGTGCTCCGCCGATAATGTGGTCCGCGGCGCCGCGGCCCGCTGACAAGGCAGGCGAGGCAGGCCCGTCGCGGCGGCTGCCGTCAGATTCCGAACACTGCTTCGTCACTCTGTCTCTCTCGCACCCCTACGGACCGCCCCATGAGTGCGAGAGAGACAGAGCGACGAAAGCAGTGCTCGGAATCAGACGCGGCTGGTTCCGAGAGTCGTCTGTCTCCCTCGCCCACAAGCGGGACGCCCCACGAGTGCGAGAGGGACAGAGCGACGACAGCGACTCTCGGAGTATCTGCACACCGACTGGCAGGCACGGGCCTGCACTCTGGCGGCGCGGTGACCTGCAATGGCGGCCGCGTTTTATGCTAATGTGGAGCAAAAGGAGCAAAAACAACGCGCCTTTGAAGTCGCGCGTGGTTCTGGGAGGCGTTACTCTGTAAGAGAGAGAGAGAGAGAGAGAGAGAGAGAGAGAGAGAGAGAGAGAGAGAGGAGAGAGAGGGGGTGTGTGTGTGTTTGTGTAGGTGTGTGTGTGTGTGTGTGTACGTGCGCGCGCTCTTGAGAGTGAGTGAGAGAGTGTGAGTGCGTGCGCACTGGAATTATTGCCGGCGCCTCGGTGCCAACTTGGCTTGCGCCAGCGCGATTTTTCATCCCGGCGGGGCTTCCGCGGGGCGGGGCAGGGCGGGGCAGGGCGTGGTGGACGGAAGTGCTTGACAGGCGTAACGCAGCAACGCGGCCAAGGGACTCTAGCGATCGGCCGACGGGTCGTGCGGGGAATGCTCACTCGACGAATAGCGAGGCGCACTTCACTTGCGATACTGAAGCTTACCACCGTCGGTGTGCTGCAAACGCATTGCGCCACTGAACAGTGGGCCAGAAGGCCGGTGGAGGTGGCCAAAATTCTAGACGCGTTTTGAGCTCCAGAGTCGCTCCATAGGACTCGAACCGAACGTGTGATCCTTCCAATGGATTCCTCGTTCGAAGAGCAATCCGTTGGTGGGGTCACACGTTCGGTTCGAGTCCCATTTAGCGAGGCCGGAGCTCAAAACGCGCCAGGGAGTTTGGCCGCCTCCACCGGCCTTCTGGCCCACTGTGGGTGCGATACTCAAAGCGTCCGGATTAGTCGACGCGTGATGATCCGTGCGTTTTGGTGCGGGCATTAGCAGCGCAGCGCGCCCAACACACTGCTAATCCAAGCGTGGAATCGCCGCTTCACACTCGGCTCCAGCAGAGAGACAAGCGAGACAAGCGTGCTCCGGCATCGCTCGCTCGGCTGATCGGCAGCCCCGAACATCGCAGGGAATGATGCGACGCGAGGCGAAACGCGACGCGATACGCAAACGCCCTGACGGGCTTGACGTCTCGTCGCCTCCTTGACTCCGCGTTTGTGTCGCTGCCCGAAGAAAGAGGATCTCCTCGCAACGACACCACCCGCCAGAGCAGAAGCAGCATGACGAGAGGAGAGGCCTTCTCTCTTATTTTTCGTTCCGTGGAAAAAGCGTTGCTCTGCATACTCCCTTCCGCTGCACCCCTTCGCCATTGAGCGGGCGGATCCCACAGTGCACCAGTCATTGCGCCGAGCCTCGCGCCGAGCACTCCGCCAACGAGGGTTCTGACGCGAGCCGCATAGGCTGCACTGCACTGTGCTGCGCTACACTGGTAAACAAGGGCGTAAAAACGACGCCCTTCAGGGCATGACAAACTCTCCGCGCCCTTGAAGGCCGTTATAAGGTGATGCCCTGGGCATTGAAATTTTGCCCATATTAACTCACAGCCCTTCCAAGCGGCTCCAAGGGCATGGTTTTGATGCCTTCGTTTCCCCATCAGTGTACAATCGGTTTGCACTCCACTGCGCGGAACTACACTGTGGCGGCCTGCTCGGCACGCATCATGCCACGGGCCTCGCAGCCCCCTATTTTTAGTGCACACGCCTCGGGAGCTTTTTAAGTGAAACTCGACGTGTGTGTATAGACGGAGCGCGGCCCCGCGGCCCCGCGCCGCGAGATGGGCTTTGGCAGCCCGTCGGCCGTTCCGCAGGCCAGCCTAGGGGTGGACCCAGGGCTGGCCTGGGGGAGGGGCAAAGTACCATCTTTTGCCTCTTCACTGGGGCAAAGTCTGGCTTTTTGCCTGGCTTCTGGGTTCTGGGCGTAAAACTAGAGGCCACGCGATGGTCACTTGTCCTTTTGCCGCCCCCAACTGGACCCGCGCATGGGCCAGAACCGTTGGCTGGCCCCAGCTTGACCCGTCTCGGCCGAAGTTCTGTGCACTTGAGTGTCCGAAATATTGGCTGAAATCGGTTGAAATATGTTGAAATCGCGCGAACTCCTTGCGAAATCTGACGAAATTTCTCAAAATGAATAGAAATTCTTTGTCGATTTTCTCGAAACGATTGTTCTGAAAATGACGTCATGTTCCCCGCTTCGCGCACTTCTTTATATCCCATAAAGCTCCACGCATCGCCAGCCTGCATCGAAGTCACCGTAACGGGCTTTGGAAAGGGTGCGGTTCGGCGGACTGAACTCTCCGCATAGTAAGCGCGGCAAATCCAGGAACCAGTTGGTTTCTTTTTCTTTTCTGTTCTTTTTTTGTCAGTGACTCGGCCACGTATTTGCAGTCAAGCACGCTATCTCGCTGTTGCCGGCCTGGCTGGCTGGCTGGCTGGCTGGCTAGCTGGCTGGCTGGCTGTTGACTTGCTGGCTGTTGACTGGCCGGCCGGCTGGCTGGTCTAGCCCTTGTAGGCCGCCATGCCTAACCCAGCCCAACACAAACTGAGCCGCCGGGCCTTGGCTGGGCCTGGCTGGGCCTGCCTCGGCGTGGCTGGGCCTGGTGGACCGGCGAGGCGCTAGGCGCGGCGACGGCCGCGAGTAAACGTTACAGCTGCTGCAGCGCCATGCTAGAGCCATGCTCGCCCCCACCCCCTGCCCCCACCCCCGGCGCAGGACCGCACCCCAGGCACGCCCCCGCCCAGCCCTTTCGGCGCCAGGATCGCTATGTGGGTCACATCTCCTCCAGCCCCCACCACCGCGCCGCCGCCGCCCCCTTCCGCCCGGCCACCCCCGGCCGCCCCCGCCGCCGCCCCCCGGCCGCCTTGACGTAGGGCCGCCTTGCCTGCCCTCCCTGCAGGGCCGGCGGGCAGGCCGGCGCGGCCCTGCGTGTGTCCACTCGGCTGCTGCTCCGCCGTCGTATGCGCCCCGCGTGGAGGCCGCGAGAGGCCGGATGCTGGACCGCGCTGTGTCGTTGCTTCTTTATTCACTTGAGGAGTGCGCGCAAGGGCCGGCCTCCCCCCCCCCCCCTCCCCACTCCCCTTGGGGGCTCCACCCCGCTCAGCCCCCGCCTCAAAGACCTCCTCCCAGGTCCTGGAGCTGCAGCCTCAAGGACGCTTGGATTTATCTTTCTGACAAAGTTCCGGCGGGCCGCGGGCAGGTCGCGGCCAGCGGACTGACTCCGAAAGTCGTTTTGTC